CCTTCCTCTTGATGGATACTATGAGGGATAACAAATTGAGAAAGCTATTCAGGGACCATTGTAAACAAGAAATGAGTTTGGATAATTACTTACTATTGGACAAAATTACAGATTACAAAATCCTGTGTGAAAAGTCCTTTGAAATTCAAGTATTCCTCTATGATGACATGAGCCCAAATTCTCATTCTGATTCTCTCTCTGATTCAGGTAGTTCTGCAACTGCCAACTCCTCCAACCTGGACCATCAACACAAAAAGAAGAAGAAGAAGGGCTACACTGAGAAGGATCTCCATGAAATTGAAAAGAAAAAGTACGAAATTGCCTTTGAAATTTACACTGATTTCCTCGATATCAATGGAGACAAATCAGTGAATATCAATAAGAGTGCTGCAGATAGAGTTAAGGAACAATTGGATTACTTTGCAAGTGGTGAGAATGAACATTTGACTGATACTCTGTTTGATAATGTGGAAAGTGAAATATGTGTCTTGATGTTGGATACTCATCATCGATTCAAGCAAACTGTGGAATTTCAGAAACAAACTCAAAAGCAACATGTTAAGAAGAATAAGGTCAAGTTTGAAAGTAATAAGGTGAAGAATTCGAGAAGTGATTTGAATCTGGATTCACTTAAAATTCCGACCAAATAATGTATATAATAATAATTTGTAAATAATAATTCTTGGATTGGTGTATTTTCAATGTAAAGATTAAAAGCAATTAATAATTAATAAATTGTAATAATTATGTAAAAAATCGGTAAGGTATTATAAATTCATCCGACTCTCGGAATTGCTTATTAACATCAAATACTACAATAAAATCCATCATCACAACATTTCCTTCATAAAATTAGTACAAATCAATAAAAGCATGCTATTAAACCGTTGATGAAACTTGGCGCCAATTTTTTGAATTTAAAATTTAAATAAAAAAAATATCATCAATTCGTGATGGAGAAAAATTGCTTAATCATCAGGAGAATTAACAACAACATGAATAGTAATATAATAATAGTAATATAAATTGTTTGATCAACAAGGTTTCAACCTTGTGGAGCCTTTTTTATAAGAATTCTAATAGATTGCCATTAAACCAATAATCATCATCAAGAAGAACAATAATTGGCTCTCCATACAGAAGGCTACTTCTCTTCTTGCTGATGATAC